ATAATTATCTAGCCCATGGTCTGTGATATCTCTATATATATACTGTACCAAACTATACGTATTCACTTGAGTAATATTGTTATTCCATCAGTGTGGTCAACCCATAATTCAGCATGTGATAAAATCATTTTCTCAAATAGTAGGTTTGTGCACATTCATTGATCACCTCGATCTAAATACCCTCTAGGATGGGTTCCACATTTATTCTCTCATACGTACATGTAGAAAGATAAAAAAGTTTACACACTCAGCGATGAGGCTGGGTGGTACCACGACACAACAGAGAAATTCACAGAATAATTTCTTTCACAATCTCAATCACATACATATGATCAAACATTTGCTTTTTCATGTTTAAAATTGTCTTTGTTATTTTAAGAGTGATAATGAATATAATCAACTCAAATATCCATTCTTCAAACTTGTAAAAATGTCAATCCACAGCTCGCAACAATCACGTGTCATTAATAAAATTCTAGTTATCACTGTATTTATCATTTGTTACTCATAACTTTATATCAAGCTTTATCATAAATAATTCCTATTAACCTATTCTAGTCGGGAGGTGGAGCTGTGAGGTAAGAGAAAAACGAACAACGTCGTTGTCTGTTATTGATTCCAACAAAGATTTTTAGAAATGAATCAAAGATTAGAAGCGTTAACCGTTATCAGAAAACAACGTTTAAAACTCAAACAAAAACAAGAAGCGGATCGACAAGAATATACTCCGTATTCAACTAAGAAAGGATCGACAAATGGCTATTGATCTTAAGATCTTGTCGAAACCAGTCCCCAGCGCTCCAGGACTGCAGCGTGACCTACCCTTGAAATTGCATGAACAAATAAAGAAAATAATACGGTCTTGACCAATGAAATATTTTTTATTAGCTAATCACGTACTTTTTTAAAGTTTGAACAAAACTTTCTACTGTATTATGTATAATTAGTTATATACTTTTTCAAAGTTTAATGAAATATTTTACGTTTTATTAATTAATTATTTTTGAAGTTTCAATTGTATTTTTAAAATAGTTGGAGAAAAAATAATTGGATAAAACTATTTGTACCCCAAACTTTTGTACCCAATTTGTACACTGTAGGTTTGCACCGACATTTTATGTTGGTGTAAAACTAATTTTTATTGACGCACCAACAGTTTGTGTCCGTGTAATTTTTTGTTAAATGTACCAACACTTGTGTCGGTGTAAACCATCAAAATGTTTATGTATAACTGCTGTGTACAAATGAGGTACAATTTTTTATGTAAATGTAGCATGACCCATAATAATTTTATTATTAGTTAATGATTGAAGGGGCTTGAAAAATGGTCATGAATCACTGCACATTTTTGCTCAAAATGTGTATGATCACATGACATCCACATGACAAAAATGCTTCAAAATGGCATGAACCACTGCACATTTCCATCTAATACTCCATAAGTTACAAGTTATGAAGCTTTTCTCAATACTCTCCCCGTCATAAAACTTTCTTCCCAGACCAACTTCACGGAAATTTATATTTATTTGTATTTTTTCATGGCCTATATGATAAAATAAAATATTCTTGTCACCGCTTGTTATATTAGGAAGACAACTGGAATGCCTCGTTTGCCCTCACAAATTTTCAAAAGTCTAACAAAAGGTATGCTTTTATTAGATATTCTCCCGTTCCAAAATAAAGCTCTTGTTTAGTTTACGATGTTTGACTTGAAATTATTTTTTAAATCAATATAAATATAAATTAATTGTAACACCCTAATCCGTCCAGGTTTACAACCCCTTCCGAACTAAAGTATTAACTTGGTAATCGTATAATTTAAAGCATTTCAAATAACTTTATTCATCATAAATGAAATTCCAAACATAATTGTAGTAAATACGGAGTGTTTAATGCGGAAGCGATTTTTAAACATGGTTCATAATAACATAATCATTTATTTTCTCAATAAATCCACCACGACTGTCTCGCCCCTTCCGCTGCCAAGAACATGCCATTCACTCATTCTGTCTACCTGCGTGTAGCAAATAAAACATACTACACGCTCAGCGATGAAGCTGAGTAAGCATATCTAAAGCATCGAACATCCAAATAAATTGAATCTCAATTCATAATCAACCATTTGATATCATGCACACAATATATGATTCAAACATTCATGATATTCTCAATATTTTATTCCAAGTCATTCGATATTCAATATCTCAACCATGCTCTTAAATTATTCTTAATCTAAGGCCAAATCATTTTATAACAAGCTCTTAGCTATTCCTAGTCTAAGGCAACATTTCTAACCAGGCCCTTAAACTATAAATAGTTTAATGCAGAACACAAGAATCGATAATCCACCCTATAGGTCACGTGGATTACGTACCAACCGAACAATGATTTGTCGGGTGGGTGATATCCGGTCT